AGATGAGGGTGCTCAGGTGACATTTTTGCAACCAGGAATGCAGAAATATTGTCTTTTCTGGATCTCCAATGGCAAACTAGAAATCCAAAACATGGGATGATGTCTTCTATGTGTTCTGACTCATTTGAGTGTCAGACACTGCCGGGGTGTGTGGACATGCATGTATGCACACACACACCTTTAGCCACTAATTGTGTTCTTGTTGTGTGCCTTCAAGTTGTTTCGGACTTATGATGACCCTACGGCAACTGTAAAATGGGGTTTTCTTGGCAAGTTTCTTCAGAAGGGGTTTGCTATTGCCATCCTTTGAGGCTGAGAGAGTGCGATTTGCCCAAGGTCACTCAAGAGGGTTTACATGGCTGTGTCGGGATTCAAACCCTGGTCTCCAGAGTCATAGGGCCTCTACAGGCGGTGCTTTACACCGTCTTGGAGGCAGAGAAGGGGAAGGGCAGCCACACGCCGAGTGCCCCAACCCCTCCCTGACGACGTCATGATGGCGCAGCATCTTGACGCGCTGCGCTGGAAGAGACGTAGAAGAGCCGTATGGTGGCTCTTGATGCATCCCTTCTGCTGGCTCCAAAAGGAGCAGCATTTTAGCGCTCCTTTCAGGGCTGGCAGAAAGGAGGACTTGGGGCCGAGGCATGGGGCAGCCTCGGCCCCAATCCTCCGTTTCCCAGGGTGGCCCATGGCCACCCATCTGCATCCCCTCATAGTCCAACACTCAGATCACTACATCATGTTGACCAGCACGAGACAGTTTGGTTGTGCATATGAGGAGCATCTTGTGAAACACTCCTAAACATATACAGACCTAACATGGGTTTATGCCTGTGCATGTCACTCACAGGACTCTGGCTTTGATCTCTCTCCCACCAGTCTTCCACTATTAGGAGAGATTTTTGGAATGTTTATATGCAATGTTCACAAATGTTTGTGTGAAATGCCTTTGTTTTATGAGAAATGGCAGAGCAATCTTGTGGAAGGCACTGAAACTCTACCAGGTTGGGGCATCCTATGCCCAGCCAGATTCTTGCCAGCAGTGTTTTTTGTAAAACCATTCCCTTCCTAATGTAAGTAGGATAGGGCTTAGAGAGTTACTTTTTAAAAAGAATGTGTTACTCATTGTTTAAGTCATTGCAGTTACTCATCACTTAAAGGGTACCTTGATGTGATTCTTCATCATCATCACTTAAACTAACAATTAAAAGCAGTTAAAAGCATAACCATTAAAAAGAACAACAAATAGAAACAATACAGCATGTGAAAAGCCCTCCTCACTCCAGAAGTCAGCCCCCAAAGGCCTGCTGAAACAGAGGTTTTCACCTGCCTATTAAAGGAGGGTAAGGAGGGCACCAGAACAGTCTGTCTAGGAAAGGAGTTCCAGAGTCTGGGAACAGCCACCAAGAAGGCCCTTTCCATTATGCTCACCAGATGTAGATGTAAGGATGGTGGGACAGAGCTTATCACATTGCCAAAAAAACTGGCTTACCTTTTCCAGCTTCAATCTTCTTCCGGGATACACCCAAATGTTATCACCCATAAATCGCTGCCAATTCTGCTGTGATGCCACCAGCCAAATACAGCCTGGGTCAGACACAGGTTGAACCTGCATTAACCTGGCAAATTTTCGAAGTCAGATGCTTCCATTGTCAAAAAAGTGCCAGCTGAACACAGCTTCGACCCTCATCTTACCTGGGCTGCATCATGGCAGAATTGGTGGTGACTTACATATGATAACATCCGGGTGTATCCTGGAAGAAGATTGAAGCCGGAAAAGGTAAGCCAGCTTTTTGGGCAGTGTGATAAACTCCAGAGAGAAGAGCCTTAATGTGAAACACATTACTAATATGTTAATTTTTGTTTCATTTTAAACATTTAAACATACGTTTAAATACACAAATGGCCCCAAATCCTCCAAACAGACTTCTATAATGTAACATTCCCGAAGGAACATGAGCTGCTTACTGTTTACACTTTCACATTAAAATAAAACAAAACAAAGACCTTAGAAATGGAATGTTCTGCCAGTAATACCGAAATAGGTTTCAGTTTTCAAAGTAGTGAGAGATGTTGGTGCCTACAAGCTCATAAGGTGCTGATGCTGGAACAGGCAGTAAACCAGTTCAGGGGTTTGGGCCACTCTTTCTTGGTTGAAGGAGGCAACATCTGAGCCAGAGGATTGTGTAAGTGAGCACTTTCAATGTTACTTTTCTGGACCACAATTCCCAGAATCAGCAGCCAGCAGGGGCATTGCGCCAACTGGGAGATTCTAGGAGCTTTAGTCAAAAAAAAAAAAAAAAAAAAAAGATAACTTTTCCAAACTCTTAACATTGCTCTCTATTTAGCCTCAGAGTAGCTAACCCCTTCTCTGTGTTGTTATAACTTAATATCTCACTTGCCCATCTATTCTTGTCCTCTAGCATCCTGTTGAACCCCAGCAGGGGTGATGAGAGCAGACAAAAGGAAGGTTTGGACAGAGGCCTTGTCTTAATGCCAGGGCTCACAGTGGGAAGCCTTGTACCACAATGCTTTCTGGAGGCAGCTGTGTTTTGTTTTGCTTTCTGGAAGGGGCTGCTCTGTAAATGACAGGAAAGGTATCATTTGCTCTTTCCAGGGGGTGGACGGATGAAACTTCAGCAAACACTCTCACCATTCAGAATTGTGGCAATCTCAACTCAAGAGAGTGATGAGACTTGCTGGTATTGTGGTTTGGATATGAACAGCTGGCTACAGATACATTTCACTTCAAAGCCAGTGTGGTGTAGTGGTTTGAGTGTTGGACTGTGTCTGTGGAGACCAGGTTGCCAGCCTTGTGTAGTGGTTTGAGCATTGGATGATGACTCTGGAGACAAGAGTTCAATTCCCAGCTTGGCCATGAAACCCACTGGGTGACCTTGGGCAATCACATGCTCTCAGCCTCAAGAGAAGGCGATCGCAAACCACCTCTGAACAAATCTTGCCAAGAAAACCCCAGTATAGGATCATCATCATAAGTCAGAAATGACTTGAAAGCACACAACAACAAACATTTCACTTACGGTGAGAGTGTAATGATAATTAAAGCAGTGTCAAACTGCATTAATGCTGCAGTGTGGCAGCAGCCCAAGTCTTAAAGCACTATACAATGCTGACTCTTCTTTAGGTAAAACATTCAATATATCCAGCAGGTTGGGTGATAGGCTCAAATCTAGGAAAGCTCATGCTCCTGTCTTCTTTCTTTCAGTCAGTCTCTCAGGTGCTACAAAATCCCTTTGCATACTGATGTTCCAGACTAACAGGGCTATGTTTTTGAATTCCCCTCAGCTGTAAGCCAAAGCAAAGCCAGGTGGCTCAGAGAGACTGTCCTAAGACATTTTGGGCAAAGGTCAACATGGCCACTCCAATAAACACATGAGAATTGGCTTTCATTCTCAGGAAAACATTGGGTTTCCCTGTGGCTTCCCTTCCTCACAGCCTCCCAGGCCACACGTTTCCCTCTCATTTGCAGTGGCTGCTAGCAAAGACTAGCCAGGCGGTCTCTATTCTGGGCCCCTTCTAGCAGGACACCCCCAAGGATTCCCCCTCGGCCCTGAAACATCTTCATCTCAGTCACCTTGAAAACTAGCCCCACCAAAGTGGCCCCTTTCATCCACTCCTGAGCTGTGGGAGGGTGCATCTATACTGTAGAAATAATGCAGTTTGACACCACATGAATGATCATGGCTCCATCCAACAGAATCCTGGGATTTGTAGTTTTGGGAAGCACCAGTGCTTTTTGGCAGAGAAGGCTAAAGACCTTGTAGAACTATAGTTCCTAGGATTCCACAGTCTGAAGTTGCAGCACTTAATGTGGTGTCAAACTACATTATTTCTACAGTGTAGATGCACATCAAGTCTCACTTGCCACCAAACTGGTGGCAGAGCCAAACTGGAACAGGGAAAGGGAGATGGAGGGAGACCATCTTTGGCCTCTGAGGGGGGTCCCAGCCTTTCTTCACACCCCTTTTTCTGGCCGGAGGGGGTGTTTTTCCCCCATGAGAACCTCACCTTTTACCTTTGCACCAAAACCACCAAGGGGACCGCCTCCCCATTACCTCCCTCCTGTTGCTTGGCCATTTTGTGCTTTCCCTTGCCAAGCATCTCTGCCCTGGATAGATTTGCTGCTAGTTGTTGTTGTTGTTGTGTTCCTTCAAATTGTTTCCAACTTATGGCAACCCTAAGGCAAACCTATCATGGGATTTTCTTGACAAGATTTGTTCAGAGGAGGTTTGCCATTACCATGGAATGAATACCCAAGGGAGATGGGAGATCCGCTTCCAAGGGAAGGCAGTTTGGTGACACCAATAGTTGGACTGGTCTGAAGGGAAATACTTTGAAAGCATTCTGAATCCTATAATTGGAAGATATGGACCAAAAAAACATGTCAGAGACTATTCTTCCAGGGTAGAACAAAACACTCCTGTGGTAGATTTGTTGTTGGTGCTTTGTGCTTTCAAGCCATTTCCAACTTATGGCAACCTTAAGATGACTGTATCATGGAATTTTTCTTGGCAAAATTTGTTCAGAGTTTTGTCATTACCATCCCCTGAGGCTGAGAGCATGTGATTTTCCCAAAGTCAACAAGTGGGTTTCATGACCAATCTGAGAACTGAACTCTTTATCTCCAGAGTCATCATCCAGTGCTCAAACCACCACACAATGTTGGCTTCCCCTCGGTCAATGCAGATTCTCAAATACTTCATTGCCACACCTCAGGGACAGAAGAGGCATTTCCAAGGGGAATTATGAGATGGGAGGAAAAAGTGTTTGCTCACTTTCCCCTCCCTCAGTCCATGTCACCCTGATTTAGTTCTGGTTTCAGGGCATGGGGTTGTTCTTATGTGCCTTCAAGTCATTTTTGGTTTGTGGTGACCCTAACGTGAGTAGGGTTGTCTTGGCAAGATCAGTACAGAGGAGATTTGCCTTTGCCTTCCTCTGAGGCTGAGAGTGTGACTTGCCCAGGGTCACCCAATGGGTTTCCATGGCCAGTCAGGGATTTGAACCCTGGTCTCCAGAGTCATAGTCCAACACTCAAACCACTACACCACAAGATTTAAAATGCTTTGAGGGTGGGAGCCATTTGCAGAAAAGAACTGGTGGTTAGGGAATGAAATGACCTCTAGGTCTTACCTGTACATGTCCCATACCCCCATCACACATTTGGCATGAGGTAAATGTGACCAAGGAATCTTGTGCACACCTCATAAGGTATGTTCTACATTTTGGGTTTTGGGAGAAGACAGCAGGAAAAATATGGGTTGTATTTCCTGTTTCTTTGGTCTAATCTGCACTGTAGCATTGCTGCTGTTTCACACTGCTTTAATCACCATGGGACAATGCTATGGGATTTTGGGATTTGTTGTTTTGTGGGATATTTAACCTTCTCTGTCAGAGAGCTCTCGTGCAACAAGAAAATAACAGGTTTCCATAGGATGGAGCCATGGCAATTAAAGCGGTGTCAAATGGCAGTGCAGATTACACCTTTGTTATGTGCAGACAAAAAAATATCTGGCTTTCTTTCAAGGCTAAAAAGAGAGGAACAAGTATAAGGAGTCTAGCACCAGGGATGCAGGATAGCATTGGGAGTTGTTGCTAAAGCATTGATCTGCAACTCTTTTCAGATGCCTTTCGATTTCCAAACCTATACCTTATCCAAGCAGTCCAAGCTGTGCTATACTATCAGCCTGGACATCAACCTGCCCTAGCCAGGTTGGCCTCCCCCATTACACATGGGAATGATGGGAGCTGTAGTCCAACATAGGGGGAACAAAGTTGGGGACAGCTGAACTATGCTCTTTGCAAGGATGCTACCCCATGAACCCTATGCGCTTATAGGATAAATATATACCAGAGCCAATCAAGTAGTATCTGGCAAAATGTCTGCCAAGAGTGGACAACTTGATATAAAACCTAAATAGTTTGATAGCTACACCTGCACTTTCTTTCTCACCATGAGAACTACTTTGAGGAGAAGGCAGGGCCAGCTCTAACTTTTCCGGGCTCCTACTGACTGTGGTTTGCCTTCTTGGTCTTTATTTTTTGTCACTCAAGGCAGGTTGGATGAGCTGCTGTTGCTCTTCTGCCCCCTCCACCATTACTACTTAGCTGCTACTTTACCTTGAGGTCAGGGCTCCAATTCTACCCAGAATTACTTGAATGTAAGCCCCACTGAACCCAGGAAGGATTTATTTCAAAGTAAATTTGTACAGATAAGATTGGACTATAAAAATTCAACTCTCAAGGCTGCCATGAGATAACCCCCTTTACCTGCTCTCTCTACACTGTATTGCCAATGTACATGTCTAGCAGGATTGATGGAGGCTAAAAAATAATGTTTGAAATAAGCCAAATAGGAAGGATGTCCTGAAAAAGAAAAGAAAAGCTGAGTCATAGTTTTATTTCCCATTGCAACCTCTCTCTTTCCCTGGTGCTTGCACCTTTGGGCTGTGGCAGGTGTGTATGGATATGAGAATTACACATAGGCTGACCATATCTCCTTGAGACAAAAATGGGACACTGGGATGGCAAAACTGGGATGAGATTATGTAATATTCCATATTCATGGAAAAGTAACAGCCTTGGCAGACGACTAATAAAGTCGTCTTGGAGGCAGGGAAGAGGAGGGGCAGCTGCACGAGCGGCACCCCTTCCTCCTCCTGAGGTTGCCCTCAGAGCTGCCAGCCCTCCGCACGACCGGCGCTCCGAAGGCAACCTCCCGCCGCAGCGTTCTCACACGCTGCAGCAGAAAAGTCAGGGAAAGTGCGCTCTACGCATTTAGGGCGCACTTTCCCTGACTTCTGAAAGGAGTGCCAATTTGGCACTCCTTTCAGGGACGCCACCGGTGCGCCGCTGTGCGAGTGCCTCGCTCCAGTGGCGCACCGTCCCAGGGCGTCCCCAGCGCCCTGGTCTGCATCCCCCCTAAGATGATAACAAAAGTTTTATTCCATGAACATATTGAGCTACCAATTATTTTTCAGTGACAAAAATTTAGGTAGAGGGGGACTGAATTTCACTACGATTGCACCATAAATATTTCTCTGATGAAGTAATCTTATGCAGCAAATTTTAGTCTTTCAACACCTTATCATAAAATTTCTCACACTCCATGACACTTTTTTTTAAAACCACAGTTTCAAACAGGGATCTCCAAATCATTTTCACAACATAACAGGGTGGTTTTCTTGAAAACGGGACAAAACTGACATTAGTATTAAAATGATAGGATGGTCTAGAATTATTTTAAAAAAATGGTACTGTCCCATTTAAAACAGTATGTATGGTCAGCCTAATTACATGCTGACAGGAAGGATGATCAACTGCCCCTTCAAAACAAATTCAGTCATCAGCTGATCCCACTTTTGTTATTTTCTCCAAAAAAAGAAAAAGAAAAAGGTAACCAAAAGCCTTGGGCAACCTCAAAGGAAGGCAATGGCACGCCTCCTCTGAACAATCTTGCCAAGAAAACCCCATGATAGGCTCACCTTAGGGTCATCATAAGTCGTAAATGACATGAAGGCACACAACACATACAACAGATTTAAGCGCTAGCTAGGGACGTTATCACACGTGGGCCAGAAAGCGAAAATAAAGTGGAAATGAGGCATTCCAAAAATAAACAGAAAATAAACCTTAATTCCGCAAACGTCATTACCTTAATTGTGAATTTACAGTAAGTGCATTTAACGTCCAAACACAAGCGAAAAAAGCCCGTAAATGTACTAGAAATGATCTTCTTGCACATGCGCAGATAGAGGAATGCTCGCTGGAACCATGGCAACAGCAGGGAAATGCTCCCAAATGCGCATTTGCTTTTCACATTACAGTAAATGCGAAATTACCTTAATTGCGCATTTGCATTTCCTCCAAACAACTGAATTTCAAAAGATCGCGGTTAACACCAGTTTCTGTCCACTTCCTGTCCAGTTTCTGTGCGACGTCGTGTGAAAACACGGGACACTAATCCAGTTTCTGTTTGGGTTTTGTGTGGATTAACGAGCAGATTTGCCCCCGTGTGATAACGTCCTAGGTCTTCCACACCCGAAGGACAGTGTAGTGGGGGAACTTAGGACCTGGGTGATAAGCTATATACTATACAGACAGCATCTTGCTGTTACCTCTCTGTCCCCTGGATCTATCTCTTGAACTACTCTCCTCCCTTGGCCTAAGGGTAGGGACAGCTTTGATGCTGATGATCCTGGGTGAAAATTACTGGCTATTGCTTCCTCCTAGCCATGTTTCCAGAAGCAGAGGTAGCCTTAGCTCCTGGTGCTGCACATTTTGTCGTGTGGGCCAGGCTGGGCCACTTCATCAGTAAGGCATTGTGGGAACAGCCTATCCTCTGATCATGGCCAGTAACACAGGTGGGGGGGGGTCACTGATGCTCTCCTGACACATTGGTACAAGTTAGCTCTTACAGCCACTGCGGCCAGAAAAGGAATTTGCCCAACAGAAAGGTCCTACAAGGAAGGGCATCTCCAAGAGTTCCTGGAATTAATACACATACACACACAAACCCAAGAATCCTAGTTGATGCGAAACTATGCTCAGCAATGATGCTGGACCAGAAAGGTCATGAGCCAGCCTACTTCTATTCCCACCTTTTTGTGTCTGACCTTTCTTCCATAAGAAAGTAATCTCAATGTTTCTTGCAGAAACTTTGAGAATTCCCTGTCCCATTCACAGCCTTCTTCATTCTGCTTTCCCATTGTTCCTGCCTTCCTCACACCCCCTCCCTCCCTCTCACCTAAGTCCATCTGAGCCAATTCAGATGACTAGTTAACAGCATCCATCTCATCACACTTCATAAATCCCTTTGGCTTTTGGCTTGGCAAACACAAGTCTGGCTGGTGCTATTCGGGAAACAAGATCTGGTTTGGGGGCATCCAGTTACTGAGCCATGTTACAAATGTACTAGGAAATCCCCTACCTTGGTAACCTGATTTAAGGGCTCATTTTCACATACATTTAACCTGGTTTACGATTTGCTTTGGCTGTGGGCTGATGAATTGATTCCAATCCATGTGTCGTTCCCACTATGGAAGTGGGTATTTCTTTATTCTCTTCTTTTTTGGCACGATTGTCATTCCCACTAGTTTGTGGCCTTCAAATGTCTGTCAATCATCTACGTGTCATCAGTGACACAACTGGCAACTCCTTTAAGAAAACACAGGAGGGAGTCATGGGTGCTGTGGCCAGAATCCCAACCCTCACTAGTTTTTGGGGAAATCCACCATTTCCCTCCTCCCCTTTCCCAGGACCCATTCTACATTCCAACCTTCTGTCCAGGAGGAATTCTAAAACACCCTCCATTCTGAGCTTGACTAGGAAGCATGTCCTACAAGTCTTGCAAGGCTGGGAGGGCACCACCTCAACTCCCCATGTCCTCCAAGTCCCCTGGGATGCATCAGCCATGGGTGTCATATGGAGGACTCTCCCCTGGGTGAGGTGCTGCCCTCCCAGCCTTGCAAGACTTGGAGGACATGGGAATATGAAGTGGTGCCTTCCCAGCCTTGCAGACTTGGAGGACATGCTTCCTAGTCAAGCTCAGAATGGAGGGCATTTTGGAATTCCTCCTGGACAGAAGGTTGGAATATAGGACAGGTCCTGGGAAAGGGGAGGGAGGAAATGGTGGATTTCCCCAAAAACTGGTGAGGAATGTGCCAACCCTCTGCCACAGTAATCCCTTCCCTTCAGTTTGATGTGATTCAGGTCCTTCATTCCCTCTTGCTGAACACGCTTGCTAATCGCTTCTTTTCAAAAGAACAACCAAAAAAAACTAGTATCAGGAAAGAGTGGTTATTTTGCATTTGCCTCACTTCATTGCAATTGAAACCAAGTGCAGTCAGTTTGGAACTGGTTTCAAATGGGAATGACAGACATATAACCTGATCAGCAATTCATTTTAAATCATAGTAGGAACAAGGCCTAAGTAGAAGAAGGTGAGTGTAAGTATAGAAGGAGAAGAGAGAGAGAGAGATTGAAGTGAGAATTCTGTGCCATAGAAATGCTAATGGATTTACTAAAACTCCTAATAGGATTATCTAGATTCCGGTA